GTATCGGAATCCAGACCCAGACCTTGTCGCCTGGTGTGTAGCTAATAAACTTGTGTCAGGTGTCGTAGTGTTGTGCATCTTCATGCTGCTGATGACAAATGCGCACGCCCGCCAGCTGTCTGGGTTCCTCGGCACGCTAAGTGAATTCTTTGGCGTCTACATGGATGTCGTCACACTCATGCGGCAACATGGCGTCCAACGTTGTCGTGACTTCGCGACCATAGATCAGACTGAATGGTGTCATTCCAGTGGTTTCTTGACGAGCGGTATCATAGGCAAAGGTCACGTACGGTAATATCTGATCCCAGTTTTTATGTTTCGTGTCAACGTGCATGCTAATCATGTCTGTGAGGGTCCTATTGAGGCGCTCCGTTAGTCTGTTTGTCTGAGGATGGTATGCAGTTGTTCCCCGGTGAGCTGTACCGCTGAGCCTGAGAACTGACCCCAAAAGCTCTGCGGTGAAGGCAGGTCCTCTGTCTGTGATCACTGCGGTCGGAGCGCCATGCCGAAGGACGATGTTTTCGATGAAGAACTGAGCAGCTTCTGCTGCTGTGCCACGCTGCATAGCTTTAGTCTCCGCATAACGAGAGAGGTAATCGGTGGCCACAATAATCCATCTGTTCCCTGTTGTGGAAATGACCCAGGAAATCCATTCCAATCTGGGTGAATAGCTTTTCTGGTGCTCCGAATGGATGTAAAAGACCGGCTGGCTTGCTGGGAAGCGCTTTGCGTCTTTGGCAGTTGGTGCAAGTTCGCACGTGACGGTTAACAGCAGCAAGTAACTTTGGCCAATAGTACTTGCATCGTAGTCGGCACAATGTTCGGGTGAAGCCTAGATGACCAGAAGTTGCTTCATCATGGCATGCTTCAATAATTTCTTTTTGAAGAGAGGCAGGCACGACGAGCAAGGGCAGGTTACCGGTTGGTGAGAAGTTTTTCTTATAGAGAACATCGTTTCGCAAGCAAAAAGATGGCAGTCCTCTAGCAAATAACCACGGCATGTCTTTAGGTCGTCCTTCTAAATATTCAATGAGTGGTAACAGCTCACGGTCACTGCGCTGCTCTCGTGCAATAGTGGCAGTGTTGATAACTCCCAAGAATGCCGTGTCGATGTTTTCGTCATCAAGAGCGACAGCTATTTGTGTGTGAAATTCAACACAAGCTCCTTCGGTGGGTCGTCTAAATAGCTGGAGGGCAACAACCGCTCACCTAAAGGCGAATACGCCATTTTGACTGTGAGATGCAGCTAAAATGTGCGACGTTTTCAGACATGCAAAATTGCGAAATGACACTTCATGAATCAAAACAAATATTATCTCCTTGGTTCGTGCTGCGTCTCTTCATTAACAGCATCCCGTAGAAAATAATGTTATTTTTATGGTTTTTTCACGCCGAAAACACAGACGCATACGTGGGACTATGTTCTTCAGCAGTGGCACACACTGAAGCACACTTTGGTGGCACACTTTGTTTCCGTAGCCTTCCCTTCCTTGCCACAGAAAGTTGTCCTGCTAGTGCTGTTTTCATATATAATATACATAGTTCATAGTGGGCCTTGTTTAGTGCTGCATGTCATTTTTTAAAAATAAAATTGCCTTTAGACTGTTCAAATTGTGAATGCAGTCACCATCACTCCTACAGATACTTTTTATACAGCTCTAATAATAATATCTGGAGTTTTACGTCCCAAAACCATGATATGATTATGAGAAACACTGCAGAGGAGGGCGCTGGAAATTTTGAACATGTGGTGTTCTTGTTCAATGACATTGCACAGTACACGGGCCTCTACCATTTCGCCACCATCGAAATGCAACCGCTACGGCCAGGATCGAACCTGTGACCTTAGGGTCAGCAGCCGAGCACCATGGCCACTGCTCCACCAAGGCGAACTTCTTATTCACCTTGTCTGTCTAACAAATATACATTACTCGCAGTGTCGCGGGTGATTACTAGCATAGTCTGGGTACTGTTGGCTGAAGAAGAATTTGTTGATGAGCTAGTTGATACATGTCTTCAATAATACTAAGTATTTGCAGCACAAGTCAGTGTCTTTCGTGTCTTTTATTGTCCTCACTTCTTAGCACTGCAAATGTTTAGTATACACTCAAACCTCGTTATAACGAAGTTGAAGGGGAGCCACAATTATTTCGTTATGTCCATTATTTCATTATATCAATTATAACAGTTTGTGGCAATGTATGCTCAGATAGGCACACACCTATATGCATGCAAAGAAGGTAACCGCCTTGCAGCCCGATGTACCGCTACGCGACCATGCGTGCCACAGAAAAGAAACTCAGTCGAATTTCAATAATTCGAACTTTCGGGTAATTCGAACTCGTGCTGCGGTCCCGTAAAAGCTATGTGTATTCCGATGGGCAAAAATGGCCTGTAATTCAAACGCGCAAGCACTTGCGACGGTTAATTCGAACATACTGCGCTCCGAAAATGCTCTCAGCACCATGCCCAATCCCGTGACGGCCCTTCTCAACGCTGTGCGCGAAGAAAGAAAAGAAGAAAAGGAAAGAAAAGACCGTGGCGGATTGCTTGCTCTCTCTCAAACGCCGATCTGCGACGCACCTGTTCTACGCTTCTCCCTTTTCCGTCTCTGCACGTAGAAACCCTTCTCCTTTGAAGGCCGCGTGCGGAGAGAGAGGAAAAAAAAAAAGAAAGCTGTCGCGGAGAGTTCTCCTTTCTCGGCCCGAAAGGTAGCAGCCATGGTAGCAGCGGAGACGCAGTCGTTGCCGTCGTGAGAGAGAAATCGCTTTGCACCACGGCATCGCTTCTCGGTCATGTGACCTGCTGAGCGCTTTTTCAATCCTCTCTGCTGGCTGTGTGAGGAGGACGGCTCTCTCAGCCACACGGGGCGTAGCTGTAAGGTTGGCGCGGGAGTTTTCAAAGAGCCGCCTCGAACGAGCGTCAAATTCCGCAGAAAACGATATGCTTAACACACTACGGTTTTTTTTATAGACTATTTGATAGACTAATTTAGTTCGTTATATCCATCTTCTGGCCAATTTATTTCGTTACAACGAGATTTAAAATGCATGGTTCTAAATAAAGTTCTCAAGGGGAATTTCATTTACTTCATTATATCCATTATTTCGTTATATCCCATTACGTTATAACGAGGTCTGAGTGTATTTCAATACTCTTGGCTGCCTGTTAATTTTCTGTAGAGCCTATATAGTGCTTTTATATTCCTTAAATAGATATTCTTATGTCTAAAAGTTAATTTCACTAGAAAATTGGAGCATGGTTAATTTAGTACTACCGTAATTACTCGAATCTAACGCGCACCTTTTTTCCGGTTAAGCGAGTTCATAAATCGCATGCGCGTTAGAATCGAGTACGAACAAAAAAATTACGGTCAATCTATTGCCATCGCAAATCCAAAATGGCCGCCCCCTACGTGCGTTGGCATGGTGCGTCGGCTATTTCTGCCTATGTGTTTACCATGTGCGGCACTTCGTACGTGTGCTGAGGAGTTCGTCATCTAGTAGTGCATTAGCATCGACGCCATGGAAGGGCCGACTCCAAAAACTCGAGTGCACCACGATGCCGCTTTTAAAAGAAAAGTCATCGCGTGTGCAGAAACGGACGGAAATCGGGCCGCATCGTGGTCCTTCTCGAAACGTGCGTGCGGGACCGGCGGAAACAAAAGCAGAAGATTGTCGACAGCAAAGCTTCACGCAAAGGCTTCAGTGAACCACAGCAGGGTCGGTTTCCGCAAATTGAAGAGCTGCTCCGCGAGTATGTGCTTGAGGAGCGAGTGGCACAGCGGCCCATGACGACAGAACTGCTCCAAGTGCGGGCTATGCAATTAGTCTTAGAAAAAAGTCTAATGCGGAGCCTGTTTAAAGCGAGCAGGTGCTGGCTAATTAACTATATGAAGAGGAAAGGCTCTTCCCTCCGAATGGGAACATGCATATGCGAAAACTTTTGCGGAGAAGTACGATGAAAAGCTTTACAGTTTTCAGAGGTTCGTCCTAAACTTGCGGCGCAACAACGGCTACCTGCTTGGGCAAATCTGGAATGCCGATCAGACGCCTCTTTACTTCAACATGCCTGGCACCACAACTGTCGAGAAGAAGGGGGCGAAGCAAGTTCGCGTGCTGACATCGGTCCACGGTAAAACTACAGTGACGGCAATGCTCTGTTACACGTCAGATGGGCACAAGCTTCGCCCGTACCTCATATTTAAATGGAAGACAATCCCGAAAGGAATCGTTTTTTCGAGTGGTGTGATCGTGCGGGCCAGCAAAAAAAAAATTAAAAAAAATGGGTGCGCGTTGCAATCAATGTCTTACGTTTTTTTTTTTTTTTTTCGCGGTGGAAATCGGGTGCGCGTTACAATCGAGGGCGCGGTAGAATCGAGTAAATACGGTAATTGAAAGTTGTTAACTCTTCCACTTTTGTGGCTAGGGTGAGTGTACAAAGCAAACACAAGCTAAGCTAGGCTGTCTTGAAGAAGACACGACCACTTGTGGAAACGGCTCCAGGAACACCCTCTGTTCAAGGGTTTTCCGTCTCATCAAACCTCCATCTTCTCCCAAGCTTCTGCCTTTTTTTGGATGATCTAACTTATGTACCTTGTCCTATTTAATGTCCTTTCTAAAGCCAATTTCATCTGTTGAAATTCTGTGATGTGAAATACTTTGCATTGATTTATTTTACGTTATGTATTGTGATTTGACAATGTCACAATCTCACCAACCATAATAACCATAATACAGATGCATGTCTACCTGTCCCTCTTGCTCTCCTCATCACTAAACACTAAGAACAAATATGCCAACCACAAAATAAGTGATGTTTTACAACAAATAAGCTATGAATCAAGAATGTCTCTTTGTACACTGCAACAAATCTGTACACAAGATATGACACAACAGATGGCGTTTAAAACCAAAGAATCATTGGTCTTGGCCCCATCTATGAAGCCAGACTCAACAAGTGACTTTTGCTGGCATATAATTTGCCTCATGTATTCGTACCTTGCAAATCTTGTAGAGAGCATCTTGACCAGCTGCATCACGAAAAAATTCATGTGCAGGAAACGTGCGATGCAGATCCCGCTGGATGACACTTTCGCAAGGGCAGTCTCGTGCCAGCAACAGCCGGTAAGCTTGAGCTGCATGGGGGTCTTGAGCAGCACCTGCCAGAAGCTGCCAGACTTCTCCTCGCAGCGCCTCTGGGATGCCTTGTGCCCGCACAAGAGGTCCCAAGGTCTTGGGAGGCCCTGCCTCCAAGCCTGCTTGCCGCCACCGACTTAGCACTTGGGCCCATCCCTCCAGCTCGTCCGCTGAGCAATCCTTGCTTACTTCGCCTGTGCCACTTAGCAGTGGCTCATCAACATCTGCATCACAGAGGAGACCAGTGATTGGTAACGCTTTTTAGTGCTCTAGCAGCTACAGCAGACTCATTAAATGGAACCTGAAGTGATCAGAAAAATGTGTTTTATTTAATAGAAATTGTGTTTAATGAGAGGAGAACCGGGTTGCATTATTCAGGTATGAAACTAGTCATATTAGAGGCAGTTGTTTCATTTAAGCAGCAATTCTGTTTAAAATACTATTTCATTTTACTAGGGTTTTTTAGCAAGCTACGAAAATATGGTATTATCATAGCGCTCCTCCTTTCCCAGTTCCTGATCTTTTGCCAATGAACGCAACAAAAGCTTTTTTCAAAATTACTGTGGGACTGTCAAGCCTCCTTGTTGTCACACTTTGTATGTAAAGGCACACTTTCACAGCTTGTGGCTTAATGGTATGTCATGCATAATGTCATGTATAGTGGTTCACAGCTTGTGGTTTAATGGTATGTCATGCTATATGTCATGTATAGTGTTGTCACACTATACATTGTTAACGACACACCTGTCTTTCAGGAGACGGAATACCACTGAAATGGGGAGCAGCAAAACAGGAGCAGGAAAGGAAGAGTGCTACCGTGCTGCTTTACTATCTATATTTGCGTACGGTATTAGACGTGAAGCAGCTCTTCGACTAGCCTGTGTAACACCATCCGTGTCTCCATGCCAACGCGCCACACCACGCCCCCCCCCCCCCCCCTCGCCCAGTTGTTAAAACCATGCTAAGTAGGTCAAGTCGCACCTGTGCGATGACGTCACCCCTTGCCTCACCCGCAGCAGCTGCCAGTTCCTCTCAACACACACAGGTGCTGTTGCTTCTCCGCCTGCTCGCAACTCACTTCTCTCTTGCTTCACCCTCTCCACCGCCCGTAACGCTCTACTGCATGTCGAGTGGAAACACTCTTTCGGCTCATTTATCTGCGATAAAACATACATGAAATCCAACCCGCCTCCTGTGTCTTTGCGTTTCAAAGAAACGTTTACTCAAGTGAAGGCTACACTAAGTTTCGTTTCAGACTATTCTTCCAGCACCTGCGTCAACGCCTGTTCCAGCCGAGTCAACAGTGTGCGCACCACTGCTGCTTTGCAATCCATCATGGTTCTCTAAGGGGAAATGGTTATAACTTTTTCGTAAGTTGCTAAAAGACCCTACTGAGAGTCAACTATAAATTTCTACTAGTACAACATGCTTTCCCATGAAAGGGCACTTGCAAAAATGTTCCAAAAGCTGGCTGAGCTCACGATTCTAAAAGATTTACTTTCACATAGTAGAACAAAACTATAACAAAGTTCACCCCCTAATCGGATTGCACCCCAAGTATACACTGGCACCAAATAAGTGGAGGTGGCCCAGTCCACTGCTAGCCACATATGTCCCCCCAGCAAAACCCAGAAGGGGGCTGCAGTTGTGGTTGCAAGCTGATTTGTCACGACAAATGAACCACAATTCCAGGACATTCTCCCCCCTCCCTTGTTTCCAAGCCAGCATTGTTACATTGCTGAGGTCAATGGCGACGAAGGGTGCCTTGCACAATACTTTCTTAATAATGTTGCCAAATAGCCTTGCATACGAAGGCAAAATGATTATTTCTTATGATTTTACATAATGTTTCGGTGTACATGAGACACACCAGAAATCTAAAAAAAATGCAAATTAAAGAGAATGCTGGTGTTTAGTTGATTATATAAGTTACTACTTACTGCACTTAGTGGAGTAACATTTGGCTACGATGTGCATGAAAAGCACAATTATGATACTACACTGGTTTATCTGCCATGCTCAAGAGGGTTCTATTACTCAAAGACAAAGAAGATTGTAAAGAATCCAAAAACCTTCAGAACTTAAGCTCCAGAGACACTTATGTGAAACACTCAAACCTCAATATAAGGAAGCTACATCCTACAAAAACATAGGTTTGTTATATCCGAAAATTCTTTATATAGTATATTCCTAACACTGTATCTATTGCAAGAGAATTGTTCATATACTTCGTTATAAGTGAGATTTCGTTATATCTGAATTCATCATATCGAGACATTGGTGTACATGTGTGCATCCACATATGCAGCTCATCATAAGAACATGAGCAAGATAAAGGTCAGTAAGAATAGTTGTGTAATCTACCTACCTGAATCTATGTCTCCTGCCGCAGATTCAGGAGATGGCTCTTGGCCAGGACTGTGTTGGTCCAAGGCAAGGGACAAGGCTGCTTTGCGGCGAATCTGGCTTCCACTACTTACGCCAAGAACCTCCCAGCGATGGCCTTGGCGTACTTCTTCTGGGTCTACCTACCATGCAATTAATGTCGAAATTGAATGTGCAAGCACCTCTGCCCTTCAGACACATGAAGAGCTAAACAAAGTCTTCATGAACCTGTACCACCCACTCAGGCACACTTTCACAGCTTGTGTTTAATGGTATGTCATGCATAAAACATGCTATCATAAACCTGATCATACCTCACAAGAGTTAAGATTTCAGAGCACTACTTTATGCACACAGCGCTGAAAATTTGAGTTCCATACAGATCTCGCATGAAACTTTGCATGTATGCAAATTATTGCTTTTCAGCTTTTTAGAATGCGCGTGAAAAGTAAGCACTATGTTCTTTAATATTCTTTTTTTCCAGTTTAAAATTTTGTTTGCTTTATGCACTGACTATCTGCAAAGGTGAGCTCGCCAGCATTAAAGGTATTCACAAAAACTGATCATATTAGATAAAAGCAAGTGCCTTGTGCTCTACATCACCTTGCAAAGTAATAAGGCAAAAGCATAATTAATCCTAAACTAAATATCGATTTCAGCACTTTTTGAAAATCTTTATCAATGGCAGAATTCAATGGCAACAGTGAGAATGACGTCACATAAGACTGTTTAGTGCAGATGGGCAAACCGTGCCATGCTGCATCATATGTAGATGCACAATAGCAACCATTCTAGCAACCTTGTCATTACAGATTGTTTTATTGCTCAATGCTGCATAATGGGGAGAACCTGTCGCACACTCTTGAGTGTGTTGGCAATTCACCAGGCGTTGCTCTTTGAAAGTTTTCCAATGACAAGAGCCTACAGGCAAAGTGGGTTGCTGCCATCAGATTGCGTCAACAGGTCGCGATTAGAACACTCGGGGCTATGCTCAGCCCTTCATGAGAATGAGGGCCACAAGTTGGGCGTATGCCTCTTGCTTGATTTTGGGTAAGCTGCTGGTGGAAAGCCGCAAGCACGGCAACAGTTGGAATACACAGGCTTCAAAGAGGTTTACACATGAAACACTTGACGGAGTGAACTTTTGACAAGTTGTGAGACCTGTGCAAATCATGGTCAAGAAGCAGCAGTTCGCCGTATTGTTCATGAAGGGACGCTTTGCCGAATACATAAAATAAGAAAAACAATAAATTGCAGCTTTCAATGTCTGCCACTAGTCGTAACTGCACCATCTCGCATGGCATAACGGGCTTTAGAAGATAATGCTAAGTGTAATAACAACTGCAGGTGTAGTCCCCAAGCGCCCACACTGCAATCCATTGAGTCCTCAGAAAGATGGCGGCGAGCACGTATTGTGTCTTTTTAGCATCTGTGCAACCCACAAACCTTCCAGGCGGCTTCCAGGACAAATTTACCCTGGCTGCTTCTGGCAACCATCAAGTAGCCAGAACCATCCTGCCAGATAAAAAATTGAATGTGCTCTGGCTGGCTCTAGCAGCCTGTGAAAAATCAAAAGGCCCACTTCTTGACACACCACAATGAAACTGCCCCTTTGATATGGAAACCAAAACATGATATGAAAACCACAGCAGCTGAAGGAGCCCACAACATACGACAAAGAACCCAAGAGTCAACCACTCTGTGCATGCCAATCGATAGTTTTCATCAAGCGAGACAGCTATGCCAGACTACTAGCCTAATGAGTAGAAGCAGCACGCTCAGGACACGGCAACATATTTGTTGGAGACGTCATGCATATTTACAACAGCCATAGAAGATTATGGCAGCCCCATGGCACCCTTCGTTAGAAAAGTACATATAGTAAAACACACTTGGGCAAGCATATGTACTCTGTGAGTGTCTAATTTTCTTTATATCCCTGGCGCTGCGGAGTGATAATAAAGGCATCAAAACGCTTGCTTTTCAGGCTGTTTCAAAGCATTTTGGCACAATTTTTGCAATTTTTATGCTTTAAAAGCAGTTGGGTGCATGAAAACAGGATGTTATCAAAAATGTGCAACATGCACAGCCATCTCACACCTACTCTTTTAAGATATATTGAAGGTTTACTGATGGTCAGAGATATTTATGTGTCCAAGAGAAAGAAAGAACACAAAAATCTCGAGTTTTAAATAATAGTGTCAGTTGTCATTAAGAGGATTCTGATGCACCCATTTATAAACACTGCAAATCCACTCAATATATATGGCCTTGGTACTAATCAAACTGTGCTCCTGCATAAATAGCTTGAGGTAACCTTTCTGTGTCAGAAAGCATTTGTACTGCAATATACCAGTCCTATTATGACATACAAAAGCATTTCAACATAACTTGCAATAGTTATGATCACACTGTGATAAATAAAAAAAAATCTCAAGTAAAGGACAAAGCAGGAACGGAATGAAGTACTTACTTCTCTTAGTCGCAGGAAGAACTCTTCATGGAATGGTTTACGCCCAAAATACCAAAACTTTTCTGATTGGGGGTAGATCTTGGCTTTTGTCTCGAAGACAAAGCGCACTGGCTCATGCACACCCGTCACCACCAAATCCACAGCCACAGTCAGGTACACCCTGGTGTCTATCATAAGAGGCGGAAAATACATTAAAAAATGGGAGGGAGAGAACTCAAAAGCATGCTCTATGCTCCTTGCCCTCAAATGATTTTGGAAGCTTTGTACAAGTTCATTGAGCTGGTATCGCAAGTCCTACGAATTATTAGAAGACCAATTTAAGCATTAGGCAACAGTGTAACTTATTACGACTGAATGCCTTTATAAAAGACATGCACCGGGGAGCAATACTCATCCTTTTTATGGTGCATCTTACGAGCAGGGCACTGCATATGCATTTTTTTTATCAACCAAAATTTTGATGTTGGCACAATGGTGTCTCATATACCCATTTGTCTCTTACATCAATGTCTCTTACAAAGGGGTTCGGCTATATAATGTTTTAAATATGTGCAGTGCTATAGATAGCAGTGACACTGGCTATAAACTCCATTTGGGACCTATAAGAGGCACCTTCAAAACCACACGCAGCGCCACTTGTGGTGCAGCGGGCACGTCACAATAAGAGTTTTGGAGCAGATAGCAGCGCCTCACTGCTTCAATAGCTATGGCGCTGAAAGCACACATGGCCAGCATGTTGGTCTTTCGAGCTGGATTTAAACATATCGTAGTGGGATTGTTCTTCTGCATATCATCGTGAGAAAGGGGAAAACTGCATAAAAGCAACCACGTTTTCAACATTGCTATGATGTTGCGGCTTTGCTACGTCCCCACCAGTACTGACGGCTAAATGAGAGTGTCATGCGTGAGTCGCGTAAGAGGCTTACTCCACAACTATTGTGGTAAGCTATTATTAAGTAAGCTCCCCGACCATTCGCCGTGGAAACCATGGTAAGTGGCTGGGCAGCGTGCTTCTTTGCTGTGGCTTCGTATCATGGCGATTCGCGGCTGAGTCTCGCGAAATACTTTGCTTGAAAATGTCACGCATAGTCCTTGTCGGGGCATCATTATCACTCATCACGATCATCGCTTTTACATTGCTGATAGCGCAGCTCATGCGAAGGGCTCAAGGCGTGGGTGCGGAAGAGAACACTCTATGATTTTGAACAGAGAGCACTCCGCAGCCCTGCTTTGTCTTTTACTTGACCTTACGAAGTGCCGACGATGATCACGATGATGAGCGACCAAACTGACCGTCATCAGTTTGGTCGCTATCATGTTGATCTCATTTCCTGCAACTTCTCTCGATTTTCATGTTGCTCTGCGAACAAACAATGACATGCACATCCGTCGCTACAGCGCTACAGTTCTCGCACAAAGTTCCACTTCTTTGTATTTCTGCTAATCTGTGTTTCTACCGATCATGCGCAAAGTGCTTCTGAGAGGGTAGTTGTGTTAGAGGTAATATGCAACGTTACTCAGTTCACCCATTCATTGATGGTCGTATCAACCCAGCAAAGGACTAACTATCTCCAATTATATTCCCCAAAACTGTGAAGGACAGATGGCGAGTTAATAAGATTCGTTAATATACTCCATCAATCTTGAGCTGTATTAAAATGCCCTGCATCCGTTTCTTTTCTCACCAGCTCTATGTTAGCAGAAATATTACGCAAGCTCATTGCATCTGCAGAGGTAGTGTCTTAGGCCAATGCAAGCAGTGGCGTAGCCAGAGGGTGGATCACAGGACCCATGCAACCCCCCCTTCCCACGAAACCCCCCTTCAGGTCAAAGTGGTGCCTCCCCCCCTCCCCAGAATTTCTGCTGACGCCCCTTTGAATGCAAGAATACAGCGACAGAACAGAACACGGCAGGCAGAGGGAGCAGGAACCAAGCTTACATTTTTCGACACACAGCTGTGATCCATTTTTGCCACTGCTCGATAAACGGGGACAAGTTGAGAAATTGTGAAACATCGTTCACGCAGGACACGACGTCTACTAGTTGGTACAATCGACTACGCAGCCGTTCATTCCTACAAACAGTGTGCCAGCGGGCGAACACAGCATTCGCTTCTGCTCCGGCTCTCAATGACTGTCTTCTCTGACGGCTGTGTGGCGGTGTGACAGTCACAGCGCACAGAGTGTATATAGCCACATCCGCCTGTGGCACATTACAGGGATGAGTAACATCACATGGGCATTGGCTATATGGCTGATTGGCTGTCACACTGACGTCACAGGTAACTTTTACGACTTAATTGTGAAAAAACATTCCTAATATAGTTAGAACACTTCAAAGTTTGTCGTACTAAGTAAAAAATAAAAACAGCAACAGAGAGAAAATATAAAGTCACAATTTGCTACTACACTCTGAAACTTATGGCAGCAGACAATGAATGTCATCTGCTTTCATCACATGCACCATGAGCTGTGCGATCAGTGTTGATCATGAGGTAGCCTTGCTCTAACATTAGGAACTGTCCTTCCATCATAGTCTGCACAGTGGGTTGTAAGCCTAGCAACTGGCACCATGTCAAGCTACAACTTTTTGTTCCTGTGCAAGACAACTCGCAAGGTGTAGCAGCAGCAGCATTGGTACTCTGAACATCAGGCTCTTGATATCTGATCCATGTTAACAACAGAATGTTTGCAGCTACCACTTCCTGCCAATATCACACCATTTCTCATATTTATGCATACTGGCGATTGTTGTCGGAGTCTAGAAGAGCTTTGGTGTGCCTGCGACCTCCCTAATTTGCAGAGTGTCAGCTTAGCAGAAAACGACATGCGAGTGGCCCGAATTTTCACATCTGGTGGCACAGAGCTCAACCACACACTGGTGAATGATGGTGGGAAGCCAAGCTTAGCCCACACCAATTATCTCAATTGAAACAGACTCAGCCATTAAGAAGAGAAGCAAAAGCAGTGCTGAAAAGCAGCATACCACTTAATCACCTCTAGCTCCCTTGATGCAAGGTGCTTCGTTAATAACTCGCTGCAGCCCGCTTTCTTGAGGTCTCGTTTTATGTGCGGAGTGACCCATCAGTGGGCCATTCAGCATATCTTTCGGGTATGCCGTGACCCACTGATAGGTCACGTGCCTGTGTCTGTTCCATTCGCATCAAAGAGATGGCATTGCAACCTTCATGGTTGGTGTGTTTGTGTGAAACATATAGAGCCATTTTTTTGCCTTTTTCGCGTAAACCTATGTTGAAATCCAAAGTGGCTGGCCCCAGAAAATACAAATGCACGTTTGCTTCTTTTACGTTATGCTTTCTTTTGCATCGGTAAAAGGCATGATGATCCATCAATTGTGCTAAAATGTTTGGGAGCAGCAGGGAGAACGTACCTACCTATTCGAGTGAAGCACACTTTGAAAACTGTGGCAAAATGGTGACAAGCTACAGAAGAAAAATATAGGACCTCACTACCTTCTTTAATAAGAAACAGCGCCATCCCATGTCCAATGCAATGAAATATATATACCGTATTTACTCGCATAATGAACGCACTCGCGTAATAAACACACCCCCAACTTCAGTCATCAAAACTTGGATCCCACCCCACGTAATAAACGCACCCCCTATATTCATCCGCTGCAGTCCCACTAACCGACACATGGCACTTTCTCACCCGCTGGATCTCTTCCATTTTTTATCATTTCGTTGACTCACCTCAGCTTGCTTCCTCTGTCCCCTTCGCCTGTTGCTGCGTGCCGTACTGTTTTTCTCTCTATCTGTGCGCGGCACGTCCCCCATCTTATCTGTGCACCACAGAAGGTTCCCGAATAGTGTGAGTGTAGAGACATCGCAGGTGATAAGCACACATCGAGCGAAGGTCACGAAACTGCCCGCGTCGGTTGGCGCGGGCAGTTTCAAAAAGCCCATCCAAGTGCACACGATTTTCTTTCATCCATCGCTCTCTAGATGAATAGGTCATGATGATTTCTGCAACACAGTAGCACCCCCGATTCTCACTTCGCTTGTTATCCGCGAGTAGAGGAACTTGTCATGTAAAAGCAAGGGGGCAGACATATTTTGGCGTTAATCTCATTATGACAGTTTGTTTTGATGCTTCGGGGGTAGCTTGCTGAAATGCTCATTAATGGCTACAATGTTAACAGCATCGTCAATGTCTTCGTGCGAGGTTGCCACGAAGTTGGCAAAGTGCGTCGTATCAAGATCACAGCAGATAGCACTGTTGCGATTAAACAATTGCGAGAAAAGATAGCCGCAAAACACTTTTATGGCGTGCACTGGCTGCCCAGGGACAGCTTGCAGAAGGTAGCCCCATCAGCCACGGAAGGTGAGTTAAGTGCAACAAAGAAGCTATTTCCAAACAGTGTACACGTATGTCAATTGCGAAAAGCTAAGCGACCTAACTTTTTTTGCATTATCGCATTTTTCACTCCTCCCAAAAAAAGTTTTTAAAATTTACCCCACATCATAAACGCACCACCCAACCCCCAACTTTGCTCCAATTTTTCGAGAAAAAAAGTGCGTTCATTGTGCAAGTAAATATGGCATATATTGGTTGCACTTTTAAACTTTAGACACCAGCACATGAAGGAGAGTTCTTAGTTATCACCAGCGGTCCATAACGCACACAGCATGAAAACATTTTCATTTGGTCGCCATGGGTCAGCGTTGGCAATGGGTCACACCATCCAACATCAGACAAGCATTTTTCTTGGCTTTTATAATTTCTTGCAACAAACATGGTACTTCTGTGCACAAGTGTGGAGAAGTTATCACATCAGCATGCAGAGGTGTACTTGTAACATCGCGGCCCCATATGGAAAGCATGGGCCATGATCTACCAGTGACACACGGCGCAGTGAACGTATTGAAAAATTATGGTGTGAATGATTTTACAATGCTGTAGCATAAGTAAAGCTTACACTAACTTGAAAAAACATGTTTAGGTGAGCCTTCGAATTGAATGCTGAACATTATAGCTACCTCGTGATGTCTCCGTGTTGAGCAGTTCAAAGGCTGGTTCCTGGGGGTTCCACCTGCCTGTGATTTGGTAAGCTGTAGGTTCTGTACCCACAGTAGACTTTGCCATAGATACCTAGACAGCCATCAAAAAATAACTCTAATCAGAAAGACAACATAATTTTGTACAAATAGACTATGCACTGCTGAAAAAAAAACATTTAGAAGTGCTCTTTATCACCCAAATGACATTATCTTCCTAAATTCATCTCTACTTTGATGCCAACTATGGCAGCATGTAATCTATGCTTTATACTGGAAAGTCAAATTACTCAAGTCCAAATAAATTGGAGTACTGCCATGAATATGTACAAATGCACAAATGCTTACCATTCCAATAAGTTGCATATCACTGTGCTTCACATGCCTTCCAGGGCAAACTAGCATGCCAAAGCACCTGCCATGAAATAGAAGAAAATTTTCAATTTACTTTGGAATAAAAGCCACTCTTGTAATCACTACCAGCCTGCTTCATTTCTTTTTATCAGATACAATGCTTAGAATGTTTACAATGTTTTAAACTTAGTCCAGATACCTTTTACACATATAGTCTGCTACATACATTTAATACAATAGTGTTAAAGAGCTCGTTTAGCAGAAATTCCAGCGTTGGCTTCGTTGGCTGTGAGCGAAAAAATCGTCATCTTATGTGTGGCCAGAAAATCGAGAACGATGCAAATAAAATAAATGATCCTGGGTCAGAGTAGGGACCGAAGAAGAGAGAGAGAAAGAGATATGGTATGAAGAAAGGCAGGGAGATTAACCAGAAAGCAAGTATCTGCTTTGCTGCCCTGCACTGGGGAAGGGGGTCCCAGCGGGGACGAACCCGGGTCATTTGCATGGCAAGCGGTTGTTCTACAACATGGCCAAGTGTCTGCTCGTGAATACAGTGAAAAGAACTTCTGATTGAAAATGCAGTGAAAGTAGCTTTCATGCTTTACAAACACAAACACATGCGTCCTATGTACATTCTTCACGATGCAATATGAAATAATGCAGTAATAATGCGTGGTACAAGCGCCCATTGCCAGCAGACGTCAGAACATGTGATTATGCTATGAGTCAATGAAGGTGTCCGTGGAAGGTATAGAGACGGAAAATAAGATCTTGAAAGAAAATATCAAGGTGTTGAAGGATGAGCGTGACGAGCTGCATGCAGAGCTAAAACAACATGAAACTGGGCTTACAAAAAGTGAACAGCACTAGAGATACTACAATGTAGTTCCCCACGCTCCTCGGAAAAACAGCAGAGAAATTGCCAAGAAACTGGGACAAGCAGTTGACATGCCCCTTGACGACTGTGATATTGTAGTCTGTCACCGCGTTGAAACAACAGGCAATACCACTGCCCCAAATATTGTTATTCAGTTTGCGCGCAGATCATCACGAGACTCATTCCTTGAGGAGGCTTGAAAACAAGGGCTGTTTTCAAATGACTCAGGATTTCAATCGAATGTGCCTGTTTATGTCAATGAGCATTTACGCCCTGCCGTGAAATGGCTATTCAATGCCGCGGACGAAAAAAGTAAGGAGTGCAAGTGGCAGTACGCGTGGACAACAAATGGCAAAATATTTGTCCGTAAATCAGCTGAGACGACGGTGGTTGTCATAAACAGCATGGATGGCATAAGTAAGATTGTCTACGAATAGCTTATTCCATGTTAGCTGCTTTGTTTTTGTGTTTTCTGTTACAGTTATGGGTTTTTTATTACATCACATTAATGCCTTAGTCAAAAAGAAACAACCAGTGCTCACATTTCTTGATTGATTTGATTTGTGGGGTTTAACATTCCAAAACCACCATATGATTATGAGAGATGCCGTAGGGGAGGGCTCCGGAAATTTCGACCACCTGGGGTTCTTTAACGTGCACCCAAATCTGAGTACACGAACCTACAACATTTCTGCCTCTATCGGAAATGCAGCCGCCACACGCTCACATTTTTTTTTTCACCAGAGTGTTCGTTCTTTAGTGAATAAAACAGATAATCTGGAAATCATCCTAGAGAGCCTGAATGTATCTTTCATGGCAATAATGCATACAGAAACATGATACACACACTTATACGTCTCAAGTGTTTCCCGTTCCCGGATATCAGTGCTTTTATCGAAATCGTGAAAGCAAATGTGGAGGCAGTGTAGCGATCTTTGTAGCGGAGGCCATCACCTGTAAGGCTGCGGGCGAGCTATGCATTATCAGCCCAGATATTAAAGTACTCACGCTGCGCAGCCATGAAAACCTTTTTTGTGTTATCTACTGCCCACCCTCTGTGATTTTAATCTGTTTCTTAACTTCAGCATACTTTTCAGTCATGTTACAGGAGAAAATTTGAACCCTTCTTTTTGGAAGGTGACTGCAATGTGGACATGCTTGTGCACACACATTACAGGCAAGAATTAGAAGATCTATTGACCGCAAACAGTTTGAGCAATGTCATTACAGCACCAACACAAATCACTGAAGAAACTGTAACACTGTTAGACCTTTTTATTAAAAACATTTACTTTGATGATGTAATAGCAGATGTTATTTATACAGGTATTAGCAACCATTTAGGTATATTTATGTTGATCACCACTCCCTGTCGGTCGATAAAAAAGAATGCACCAGTACGCTACGTTCAAGACATCACACCACACTCCCTGGATTAATTTCGTAACTCTGTTAGTTTGCAACAGTGGAACAATGTTTTTAGTTCAAACAGTAGTGGCATAACATATTCCTCTTTTATAGTGACATTTAAAAAGATATATCTTGAGCATATCTCATTTAAAAAATTAAGAAAGTCTTCCAAAGCTCATAATACCTTGGGTTACTTATGAATTATTACACATGATCAAGCATAAGAATACCCTGTATGCCAGTTTTATTAAACATAGAAACCTAGGTAGTTTTGAAGAATATAAGACATCGAAATCAGCTTACTAGCAAACTAAGAACAACCAAAAACATATATTTGCACAACTTATTCTCAGAACCTGCGACTAAGCAGTCCGACGTGATATGAGAAAATTTAAACTCACTGCTACACCCAGCTAAATCCAATGTTATTCCTGATAATTATCACCAGCAAGGTGCACTGTCATCTGACGAAACACTAGCAGATGCTTTTAACACTTTCTTTGTTAAGCAAGCAAATCCTGAAAATTGTTTACTCAGGAGCAGCTCTTATGCTCTCACTACTAAAAACATTACTGCAAAATCGTTCTTCTTTAGTCCCACTAAATGCGCTGAAGTTCTTTCTTCTATATATTCAGTCAAAAATAGTAAGTCGCAGGACACTGATGGTTTTCAAACAGGACCTATAAAGCATGTACTCGACCTTATTTTTTCTGTTCTTACTCACATCTATGACCTGATTCTATCATCTGGCCAATTTCCCAATGACAAGCAAATAGCTCGAGTACAGCCAGTCTTTAAAAAAGGCGATAAAAATGTTTTAGGTAATTATCACTCAATTTCAATTCTATCAATATTCTCAAAAGGCATTGAGAAGATTATTCATGCTAATATATTATGTCTAGACAAAAATAATTTATTAGCTGATCATCAACATGGCTTTAGGAAGCACCGTTCCACCGAGACTGTTTTCCTAGCTCAAAAAGAAACAATATTACAAGCTTTAGATGATGAAAAGTTAATTATGGGAGTCTACATCGATTTCTCTAAAGCGCTTGATCTTGTGAATCACAAAATCTTACTGACTAAGCTACACGCTTGTGGAATAGGTGGTATAGCCTTAGAGCTTTTCGAATTTTACTTATCGCATCGAGCACAATATGTACAGCTAGGAAAAGAGAAGTTCAGTTTTCAGGCTGTAGGAGTCGGAGTTCCACAAGTGAGCATCCTTGGGCCACTCCTGTTTATAATTTATGTAAATGAAATGCCAAACATTTCGAATAAGGTAAAATTTATTTCCTATGTGGATGACACAGCAATATTTATTACCTCTACATCTGAGAGTGAACTTGAGCATCAAGGGAACATAACGCTCAGAGAATTTAAAAATTGGGCTGAAGCGAACTGTTTACGAATAAACACCAGCAATACAAATGTTATGGTTTATATGCAAAAATACAAACAATTGCAAAGTCCAATAAAAATGAAGATAAGTACGGATGATTTAGAAATTGTTAACACAGTCTTCACATTACGTGTAATGTTTTCAAAATACCTAAGCTAGAACGAACACGTCGAACATCTTAGTAAACAGCTTTATTCTGCTGCAGGAACCATAGCTCGCTTAAACTAATTTCTTCCACTTAACAATAAAATGTTGCTTCACAATGCTCCAGTGCTTTCGATTCTACAACACTGCAACCTTGTTTAGGGCACGACTACAAAGAAAAATCTCACAAAACTGCACCTGCTCCAAAACACTGCTGTGCGCTCCATTGCCAATGTTCCACGCACGTTTTCTACAAAAGATCTGTTTGTAAAGTTTGATATTCTACCTGTGTTCTTTTTATACGATTATCGCTTAATTTTAAAGTACAAGTCTTACTTAAAGTCCAATAATTTTACTGTACTTTCGCTGGCTGATTTGAATGTAAACCGCAGTATTCGTCATACTAAGCATAAAGAAAAATGGCATGTCCCTACACCTCGAAACAAATATGACGAACAATTCTTGAAACATACTGTGCTAATCATACCGTATTTACCCAATTCTAAAGTGCACCTATTTTCGAGAAATATGGGTCGAAAATTCGCATGCGCATTGGAATCGGGTACAAACCGAAACTGGCTTCCCATAGCAGCCTACCGTCATCGTCATCAACTCTTTCGTTACCACGCCTATTCGAATCGATCGCCGGTGATCGACGCTTTTGGATCGTCGATATTGGCATGTTAGAATCATTTTTCGTGCATCCAGCATTCTCTAGTAGTTAGTCCAGCCACTCAACTTTCAGAATCAATTTAAATTTGCCCGTATTGGTCACACAGTAATTTTTGACAGACGTTTGAGTCAACCAATGTGCGTGTATTGTTGAAAAAGGGCAGTTAGCTGGCGAACTTGACAGAAGTGCGTGCCCCTCATGATTATACTACAGTAAAACCGAAATTCTGTGATGAAAAGAACCTTTGCAAGTCAGATATTCAATTTAAGTGTCAGCCTCGCAATTTCACAATGTTGAGCAGCAATTATTTCCAAAAGTTTATGCCAGCTATTCAATAGAGATCTGTTCCTAGGAGTAAGGGAAGATTTGTTCTACAAAAAATATTTACGAATGTCTGCCGCATGTTTAAAGTGTCGAGGCAGCCTTCTCTGACAGTTTCCAGCAGCTTTGGTTTTGCTTGCATCGTTATATCAAACACAGCGTCTCATCTAGTGTCACTAGCTGCTCCTATGATGCCGTTGTCCCGCGCGCATGTGTAGGCACCAGCGCTGCAAA